GGTGGAGGGGGTGTGTCACCAGCTGCCACTGTAAATAGGTTAGTCAGAGAAAGCCTTGATGACATTTGAGTCAAACCCTGAAGGAGGTGAGCGAGTGCGACATGGGACATCTGGGGAAGCGTCTTCCAGGGTGAGAGGCAGCCCGTGCAAAGGCCCGGAGGTGGGAGTGTGCCTGGAGGGGCGGGAACCAGGAGGAAGGCAGGAGATGAGGTCAGAGGTGGGGGCAGGGGCAATGGGTCATGGAGAGCATTTTAAGCTCTACAGATGTGGGCTTCTACTCTGAGTGAAACAGGGAGAGCTGTTGGAGGGCTCTGAGCAGAGAGGTGATATGATGTGACTTACATTTTAACAGGATCTCTCTGGCTACTGTATTGAAAATGGGCTATAGAGGAAAAGAGGGGAACCAGGGAAGCCAGTTAGGCTAATTTGTAATAACCCAGATGATGGTGGTGGCTTGGATCAGGGTGGTAGTAATGGAGACGGGTTCTAGATTTGCTTTGAATTACAATTTACAGGGTAGTTTGGAACATAAGCCATACCTGTGAAACAGGTAATAAACTCGACCATTCTGTGATCAGTGGGCTCCAAAATACTCCAGTCAAGTCAGACATAGGAGAGCTTTATTTTCCATTTGGTCTCTGCTACCACGAAAAGCACAGAAGTAAATATAGTGGGACTTATATTGTACACAGCTGCAACACACTGAACTGAGTCAATGCTAAATTGTCATGAGGCTGTCGCTTCTAAATCCCTCTCGTCATTCCTGCAGAAGGGAAGAACTTTAGCCTGCCCCCATTTGAAAACGGGCAGAAGGGGCAGAGCCAATTGTGGTAGATCCTAGTTTGTATTCATTGTAGGGTGTCTTTCTCAGGCTTTACTGTAATACATCAGTATATGATTGATGGAATAGTATTGACAATTGCTTAAACCAAAATGAGAAGTGCAGACCATTAGTATGAAAAAATTCTAAGAGAAAAAGATATGTGTGAGCTGGAGAAGAGAAGGCTATGTGAAGAAGGGACTGAAGAATTGAAACAGGCAGGGGGCAAGAGGAAAGGCATTCTTGGCAGGGTGAAGAGCAAGAGCAAAGGCAGTAAGGACTCAACTTGTATAGCAGGGAAAGTGAATTGGCCAAACCCAAGATAAAGCTGTTGGATGGGAAGCTTTGAAGGCCATACTGGCCTGGTCCAACAGGCAGTGAGGAGTCATTGATGGTCAAAGGGAATGGCAGTGTCTACACAGTGAAAATTAATCTGGTCGGTATAGATGGAATGACTAAAGGGGGACAGAGGCCAAATGAAGGGAGGAGACTCAGGAATCTACTGCAATAGTAAAACTAAGCATAAAGTAATGAGATATTGAATAGGAGGAGTCAGCAAAACTTATTGGCAGATTTTGACCCAAAAGATGAAGAAGGAAGAGTTAAAAGATAAATGAGAGTCTGAGCTGGAAGACTGAACAAACGGTGGTGTCAGTCAGTGGCAGAAACGGGAGTGGTGTTGAATGGAGAGGGTTTAGAGAAAAGATGGTGAAGCAGGTTAGAACAGATGGGTTTTGAGGTGGTGGTGAGAATTCCGAATAAGGGTATGCTACAGAAGAGTTTTTCAGAGTACCCCCGAATATTTGTCCTGTAAGGTGGTCCTGGTGACAGTAGAGGGAGTGGGGTTCATGCTCAGAGCAGCTGGGAAACACTGTATCTTGCATGCCCCTTTCACAGTTTCAGTGTGCATGAGCTGACTGGGGCTCTGAGGCTGTGTTTAAACCAACAGTTCCCAAATGTATTTGACCCTAGTATTTTTGCTGATCCTCTGAACCAATGGTTTGAGGTTCCATAGGCCACAATTTGGGAAATGCCATCTATGAGGCCTTTAGAGATAAAGTCCCAGAGTCAGGTGAGAGTCCAAACCTGAGATGGTTTGGAGACTCGGTGATAAAGGTAACTCATGAAACTGAGACCAGATCCATCACTAGGAAAGAAAGCCTAGGGTGAATCTGAAAGCCTAGAGACAGGGCCTCTAGTGAGGCAACCAGAGCACCAAGAAGGCCCAGCAATGTGGCCAGAGACAACACTCAGAGGAAAGCCAAGGACCAAGAAATCCTTGACTTGGAAGGCAGGGGAAACATTTCAGAAAAGAAAGGCTGGTTCCCTCCACATGGCCACACCTGCTGTTCTCTTGGCCTCTCCAAGTCCTTGCCATCCTTCAAGGCTCGGCTTAACTCACCTCTTCTCTCAGAAGTCTTTTCCAACTGCAGGTCACAGTGTTCTTCCCCTTCACTCCTGTGGCACTTCACTGCCCATTCCCTTGATATTTGCATGGTCCTTTGTCTTTTAAGAGTGGCATTTGGCTCCTCAATTAGGCTACGATTAGCATAATAGATGCCGGGAGCATGTTCGCTGATTGGATGGATGGATGAATGGATGAAGGTGGGTGTAGAGAGGAGTGATAATTCAGATTTGGAGCAAGAACTGAAGAGGGGGCAGGCAGGGTTAAAGTGCAGAAGAGGCTAGGTTCCTGCCAGCTGCCTCTGGAACAGCCCTTGAGGAGGCAGCTCCCACCTCATGGGGAGCAGGTGTGCAGCCCTATTACAGGCAGTAAACAGATAGGGACCTCGTGAGCCAGGAGAGGCTTGAGCTTCCAAGGAGCCGATTCTGGAGGTAGGTGGTAGGACTCGGTGACCTTCAGTGGTTGTGCTTCTCTCTTGCCAACTCCTGCATGCAGAGAGGCCGGGAACAGAGCATCTGGGTGGTCCCAGCTCAGCCATGTGACCTTGGACAAACTGCCTCCCCTTCTTTGGGCCCCAGAGTTTTAGAGGCATTAGCACTTCCAGCCTGAACTCCAGGAAGGACTTTCCTCTTCTCTTCTAGAATGTCTACCCTGCCCCTGCCTGCTGCAGATAAGCTACACAGACACAGAAACAGACATAGAAACACAGACACGGAGACACACAGACAGACACAGACACGCAGAGACACACAGACACAGACACAGATACACACACGGACACACACACACAGACACAGACACAGATACACACACGGACACACACAGACACAGACACACACACACAGACACACACACACAGACACACACACAGACACATACACACACACACAGACACACACAGACACACAGACACACAGACACAGACACACAGACACAGACACACACACACACAGACACACACACAGACACACACAGACACACACACAGACACACACACAGACACACACAGACACAGACACACACAGACACACACAGACACACACAGACACACAGACACACACAGACACACACACACACACACACACACACGTTCCTCCTGCCCAGGTGTGACTTATTTCCCTATTTGTTTTATTTTTATTTCCTAGAGCATTCTGAGACAGGTGTTTGGATTTTGGAAGGGAAGGTTGAGGCCAGGCTGTGAAAAGGCAATTTACTCTTG